GAGGCATTGTTCTCACATCCATTTCTTTGTACTTGTGTTCACAGGCCTGGAACATCTTTCCTCCAGTCTCAGCTTGCTTTCTTACACTCATTCGTCTTTCATCAAATCTCACTTTCTCAGTGAAACCTTCCCTGAACAACCTATCTAAATTGCAATGCCTTTCTTCCTTGATTTTCTCTATTATTCACCATGACATAAAATATGCTTTACTACCATGTGTAGTTTCCACACACAGGAGCAATAGATGTAAACCCCGTAAGTCTTGGGCTGGAGCAATTTCAAATCCACAGGCCTGAGAATCCCCAAGAACCATGTAAGGGGGATGGAGGTCATGAGGAAGGCCTCCAAGGGTCACATACAGGAGATACTTGAGGGGAATGCCCCAAGAGCAATGACTGGAGGTGGGTTAGCAGCACAGATTCAGCAGTGTAATCTCCAGTCTCAAAGTCCCAGTAATGAAGGATAAGAAGAGAAATGCCTGAAGACATAATTATGTAAAAAGCTTTTCATCCACAGACATTCCCAACATCCATGTCCAGTTATTATTGGTATGTAAAGTACATGTGTGTGGTATGTGGTAGAGTGGAGTAACAAATGGCAGAGGTTGACAGAGGCCAAATCATGGAAGGCCATGCTAATTTTATTAACCTATATAATGCATAAAGTATATGTCTAGAATTTAAAATTACAAAGGTTTCTACAAATCAGTAAGAAAATACAAATAACCTATATTAATCAGGACAGAAACCCAATTCAATTATCTTAAACAAGAAAGGGACTTTATTGGCTCACAAAACATTAAAGTCCGGAGGTAGGGCAGGCTTTAGGCACAGCTGGATCTAGGGCCTCCAGAAAAATGACATCAGAACTCGGTTCTCTTTCCTTTCTGCTAGCCTCTGAGTTTCTTCTCAGATAAACTCTCTCTACATGTTACAAATTGAGGCTTACATAGTCCTTAGTTCGTGGGATCTCCGTAGAGCCTTCTTTCCAAAAGTTTCTGCAGAAGTTCTGGTTGAGGGCTCTCTTTAGCCTGGCTTGAGTTACATGCCTATTCTTTAATCAATGTGGCTAAGAAGCTGCAGGACTCAGAAGGCCAGACCTGGTCATGTATTCACCTAAGCCATAGGGAATGGGTTCCCCACAATAAATAAAGGTTCTGTTACCAGAAGGGGAAAGATGCTGAACAAACAAAACAACATATATTCACACATAACCCAATTGGAAAGCAGGTATAAGATATGAACAAACAATCCACAGTAAAACTACAAATGGCCAATAAACATATGAAAATAACCTCAACCTTACCATTCATCAGGGAAATGCAATTAAGGATTTTTTTCTCATCAGGTAAAATTATTAAGTGTAGGTAAGGCAATATGGGGAAATGAGCATTTTCCATACAGTTGGTAAAATATAGTTATGAAGGCCTTTGGGAAAACTACGGTGGGTCTATCAGAGAGCATACCCTTTGATCCAACAATCCACCTTATACAACTCCATCCTAAAGAAATATTCACACACATGCACAAAGAGATATATGTGTGTGTGTGTGTATATATGTATGTGTGTGTGTGTGTGTGTGTGTGTACTTACTTTGGCAATGTAACAGCAAAAGAAAAATATAAGGGAATAGTTCAATAATGGTATTTTCATAATATTGAATCCTATTCAACCATTAAGGAAATTTAAAGACCTCAGGATAGGTTTTTGAGACCAAAACAAAAGCTGCAGAACAGTACATATATGATCCTATTTATGTAAAAATAGCTTTTCTATGTTTATGTATATTCACATGGAAATGTACGGAAAGTGGACTAGATGAATGTATACTACACTGAGGGCAGTGGAATGTGATTGGAAGTGCTGGAGAAAAGGGTCTTTTTGTTCTTATACCTGTGTATCATTTACATTTTGTACAATGAGTTAGTAGTTGTTTATACTTTCATAATTAAGAAATTAAAATTGGGCAAACACAATCCACAACAGGAAATGCAAGTGGCCAATAAACATGTGAAGAAGTGATCCTCCTTATTAACAATCAAAAAAAAGGAAATAAATTTTGCCTACCAGATTGGCAAACATATTTAAGGATTCAGGATTGGTGGGAGTGTAGGCCAATAGGTACTTTTACTATTGATGGAGTGGTAAATTGCCGTAAATTGGTAATCTTTTGGGTGGCATCTCTTAAAATGCTGAATGGGCATTCTCTGACCTCCAAAAACCCACTTGTATTTATTCTACAGAAATTCCCATGCAGGCAGCAAAATATATGTACAAGGATCTTAACAGTACCTTTATGTAAAATTAAAAAACTGGAAAGAACAAGCTTTTCTAGGGGTTGGTTAAATAAATTACAGTATATTCATGCAATGGAATAGTATATGTAACCATGAAGAACAATGTCGATATCAAATTGGGAAGGGAGGCAAATTTCTGAGCAGTACATGTAAAATGGGGATATGTACCTACTTCATATGGTTGATGTGAGGATTAAGAGTTAATCCATTGTAAAGCACTTCAAACAGTGCCTTTTTGGAACCACAAGTGTCAGCTATTAACACATTTTTGCTTACATTTGTATATGCCTAGGTATGGAAGAATAACAAACCAAGTAATTATTACTTTTGAGTAAGACTATGAGAAGAAATGTCCTTTTTCACTTTATATTCTGTAATATAGAAAATTTAAATGAACAAATTTAATAGTTTTTACATTTGTGAACTATAAAAGGTAAAAGCATCTAAACCATAAAAGATAAAACCTAGAGAACTAGATTTGAATTTTAGCTCTACTTGGCCACATGCAAGTCATACGATCTCTGAATCCTGCTTTTCTAGTCTACAAATCTAAGTGAAATAGGTATAGTGTCTAATCCGATGCCTGGCATGCAGATTATTTCAATACATATAACCCTCCCTTCAACTTACATAAAAGTGGTAGACACACTGCTAAACGATCAAGTACCAACTAGGTGTGAAAGTAGCAAGCTTACACTCCAAGAAAACCAGAAGAAAATTTAGTAGTAATGAGCAAGTCCTCAGTGGCTATTGGGTGGGTAATGGCAGTCTGCATGCCATTAACACTGACTGCTTGTTTGCTAACCGGATGCCAATGCTCGACAACTGCCAGATTACCACTTCATTAGAGGCTGTGCAGCCCCCAGAATTGCTATGATTATCTGTGTGGGTATAAACAAACATCTAGATGAAATAATAAATCACTGAATAGTTATTTTAAATCAGTTTGTCTACTGGAGATATAACCTAATCAAAAACTGAACACACAGACCAGTTCCTTTTCCTATGTACCAGCATCCAGTCTTTTGGGATCCAGCCATTTTCCCCACAGAGCCTTGCCTTAGCCTCAGAATCCTTTCTAAACAACCCACGGGTATCAGAGCTGGCAAGAAAAACACGTATTTGCCAACTTTAATACTATTTTTCTAAGTTCTCACATTATACCAAACATCTTTGGCCTTTAAGACAAATCTACCACAAGTGGACTCCTTTGTATACAGAAAATATATAAAATCTAAAAAAGCATGAAATTTCAGCCACTGAGAGCTTGATCCCTTCTTACCTACTCTGACATAAGAATCCTGTCATCCCAGCAGAATTCCAAATATGCCACCTCAAAGCCTACTTGGAAAGAAGCCAGTTATAAATAAAACAATCAACTCAAGACCATTTTATCTTACAGTAGAGGAGTCTATACCTTTATTGGACATTGACTTGTGTCCTCTCAGCCACAGAGAAAAAGACCCAAACAAAAGTCCCTACATTTTCTTGTATAACTTAAAATACATTATATCATTACTACATATTATACTTCAATAAATCTTAATGTATAAAGCACATTTCTTATAATTATCAGAAAATCTATAGACAAGCTCCATTCTGCCTCATTTCTCCACCAGCTAGCCTTGCATTTATTACTATGCGTTTTAACAGGCTCATGCAAATTTCACCTTCCATTTTAAAAATTTGATCCAAGCACCAGTTGTGACCAAAATCTCTGGAAATATGAAATATTTTTATTCACATGGGTCATTTTCCACACAATGATGCCCACTATAAAAAAGCTTTTTCTCATATTCTATATTTTAACTTCCAGAGTTTTCCACTAAACAGAACCACAGTACTTGGGATTCTCAGCCAAGGAGTATATAATCCTACTACTATAGTGTATTACCTTTATACATTTTTAAAAATGTGTTAAGACTTAAAATTTAAAAAAAAAATAGCTCAATCAATTCTGTTAATAAACTAGTTGTTAATAACCTAATCGTTTATTTTTTTAAAATAGAACAATCCATTCAACATGTTAAGTACCACCTCAATGCTACTAGAGATTGATTAGTTTTTAAAAAACCCACAAACCTCCCAACTGATAGAATTTTAGACTCACCTCTGAAGAATGTGGAGAGATGATTAGCTCTTTGAGCTGTCTTCCTTTCCCCCAAATACAACACCCTGGTAAGGGAACTATGGCTCTGGGAATTTCAGAGCTGACCTCCCCCAGGACTGCTCAGAAGTGGGCAAGAGGCTGACTCACAAGAAAAGCTTTGTACCAATTCCCCAATAATTTACTGTGGAAGAATTACCTACCTATTTATGGTAGGGTTACAGTACCTAGCACAGTGCCTTGTTGGTAGAAAATATTTAATAAATGAATGCATGACTGCTTTGTTAGCCTGGTGTTCAACCCTCTTTTACCAAAAAAAATAAAATAGCAAACCTGATACTTGTTATCCACCTGGTCAGGGATTTTTCTGTCCTTAACAAAAACGAAGACAAAATAAATTGTATCTTCAAGTCTGTTTTGTTTTCTAAAAGCCAAGATAGACCATTACCCTTTTACATTTGCCCTTCAACACTGTCATTCACTGCAAATTCTCCCCTAGTGTTATTTCTACTTTCATAGTTTATAATTATTGTTTAGACTGCCCACTTTCTAATGAACAATACATGAACGAACATTATTTTCAATACTGGGATGCCTCCAAATTAGGACGTGTCGTTTTTTATTTTCCTACAGGCAGATAATTACATTTAGATAAATTCCTGATACACTTCAATTCTTGAATCAAAATATTTTTATCTTTCCCAATCTAGGTGTCCCATTCTTTTCGATGATTTATCACCATCACTTCTAATTTTACTTTGAAGCTTTTAATCATCCTTTATCTTCTATTTTCTGAAATGCATATCCAAAATTGGTAAAAAGAAACAGAAGAGTAAATGTTGAAAAGATGATTTCGGTTTTCAGACTTCATAATTCCTATGTTGCCTTTTAATGTAGAAGGGAATGTATCCTTGCAAAGACCATTTCACTGATCAACACAGGATTAATGTTATTTGTTTACAAAGGAACATTTTAAGAAAGAGACAAAGAATCGAGTAGATCATTTGGAAAAAATAGTAAGAATATAAACATCACATGGAAGATTTAGGCATTAACATGTGAATTAAGCTTAAAATTTCAGGTTCTAGGCAGGTATGACACCATTTCTTTCAAGATAAAATAATAATGGTGGGTGACAATTTTCTACATTTCCCAGTGAATTTTCTAACATTCTAAGGGAAACCAAACTATTATGTATCATTCCATGTTTTTAATTTTGTCTTCATTTCTGAAGAAATAGACCTGAGTGCTGACTTTTTTTTTTTTTAATTTCTTAAACTTTCACAACATTCAGAAGTTTTTCTGCATTGTGTCTTCGCTGATGTCTAAAAAGATTTGAGCTCTGACTATAGGATTTCCCACACTGAACGCATTCATAAGGTTTCTCCCCAGTATGGATTCTCTGATGATTAATAAGCCCAGAATTCTGGCTAAAGGCTTTTCCACATTCAAGACATTTGTAAGGTTTTTCTCCAGTATGGACTCTCTGGTGTTGCACAAGTATAGAACTTCTGCTGAATGCCTTTCCACATTCAACACATCCATAGGGTTTCTCTCCACTGTGGATTCTTTGATGAAGAATAAGGGCTGAGCCCTGACTGAAGTGTTTTCCACATTCATCACATATATGTTGTTTCTTTCTAGAAGGATTTCTCTTTCTTTCAAACCTGCCCTTAGGGAAACAGGCTTCTCCATATTTAAAAATCTGAGGAACACCTATATTGAGAGTGCCAGGAACTTCATGAGATTCTACTGCTGAAGAAATCTCCTGCTTTGGAGCCAACGCTCCATTTTCAGTCCTAGCATCATCATCTGAAATAAACAGAAAATGTAAACATCACTCATTTCCTATTCTGGGAGAAGGGAACCTGAAGAAAAAAAATTTAATGAACTTTAAGTAAATAAACAGCTTGTATACATCTCTAAACAGTACATTGAAATTGGTATTAAGGTTGCCTACTCTCAAAAGAGGAAAAAATGAAATGACTGATTATAAGGCTAATGAGGTAAATTAACATAATGATATATTAAACAGTTAAATCTTAATTAAAGTAGTAACATAAGCAGTGGGTTATAAATGATAATGAGAAAAAAAGAGAAAGATGATAGATTTTAAGACATTAGGGAGACAGTGAGTGATGCAGCCAGTCTTGATGGAACTTTGTAGGAACAAAAATAAAATAAGGATGACCATTAGAAAATCATTATAATGTTCTTTTGCTTTGAAAAGGGGAGAAATTACATCAAAATACAATGGTATAAAAAATAAGCAATTATGCCCTTGCCGGTTTGGCTCAGCGGTTAGAGCGTCAGCCTGCGGTCCAGAGAGACCCGGGTTTGGTTCCCGCTAAGGGCACGTACCTCAGTTGCAATTTGTTCCCAGCCCTGGTTGGGTCATGCAGGTGGCAACCACTTGATGTATCCCTTTCATATCAATGTTTTTTTCTCTCTCTCTCTTCCTCGCTCTCCCTCCCACTCTATCTGTACAAAAAATGGAAAAAATATCCTCGGGTGAGGAACAAAAAAAACAGCAATTATGCCAGACTCGTGTGGCTAAGTGGTTGAGCGTCGACCCATGCACCAAGAGGTTGCTGGTTTGATTCCTGCCCGGTCAGGGCACATGCCCAGGTTGTGGGCCCACCCCCGGTGGGGGGCATGCAGGAGGCAGCCGATCGATGTATTCTCATCGATGTTTCTATTTCTCTCTCCCTCTCTTTTCCTCTCTCTCTAAAAATCATTAAAAGAAAAAAATAAAATAAAATAAGCAATTAGTCAGAAAGTCACTATTTCTGAAACGAGCAAGACAAGGCAGGTTACAGCCAAGAATAGAACACAGGAGGAGTCCTGACAAGAAGGGACTAAAGATAAGCTGGGCGCATCCTGTGTTAATTCAGGTTGTGACACTTACAAATACGACTTAATAAATGAAAGTGCTCCTGTGAAAGAAGATTGCCCCTTGCATGAGGTACCATTAACTTCTGCAGGCAACTATATGAGCAAGTCTCATTTAAGACTTTATATAGATATATGTGTGTGTTTTTAATTATAAAAAATAAAATCAAATTAACAAGTTAAAAAAAAAAAAGACTTTCCTGAAACTTCAAGCCTTGAAAAGTCAAGACAGTGAGCAGCAGCACTCAGAAAGGTGGTAGTGGTAGTGAGCAGGTCTACAATAAATGATTAAGAGAGGGATAAAGTCTGGAGAGAAGACTGACAGAGAGACTGAAAGGGTGGAGGGGACTAGTGAGGTCTGGAGACTTGAAGAACAGAGGAGTGTGAAGAGTTAAGTGGAGACAAGTGGCACAGTAAGAAGTAAGTTCTCAAGTGTGGTAGAAAAAGTATTCTAAAATTCAGGCAGGGGAGAAGTTTCTATCCAAGAAAATGCCACCTCCTAACCAAGGATAGAGGTTTGCAAACTTTACTGCACAGAAGAATGTCCCATGAAACATGTAAAATTGCAGATTCTCAGCAAACTCTAGCCCAACACCAGAAATTCTGACTCACTTGCACTGTCCCTCTCAAATGGGAAGAAAACCCACTCAGACCTCATTCTGTGACACTCCAGTGTGATATCCAAGTACCTCTAGGAATGATTCCCAAAGGAGTCGCAAAGGAAATTTCATAGAAAAATGAAAACTATATCCAGTAGTTTTAGGAATAAAATGAGTAATATCAAAGTATGCAAATAAATACATGGCTTTAATTGTCAATATATTGGGAAAGACAAGTTTAATTTTTCTGTATTTAAAGCTTATTATAACTAGGAAGTCTATTTTTGCATGAATACTTTTAAAAGGTATTCCCAAATATCATTTCTACAAAAGAACCTTCTTAGAAAAAAACCACTCTAGACAGGATATGGAAGGGAAAAAAAACTGAAAATTTAGAAACACTTAAGTAATAAACAACAAATAAAGAGAATAGACTTGAAGAAGCTTCAGCTAAGATTACTGTACCAATAAGATTAGGTAGGAGATTGAAAACACATGGAACAGATGACAAATGTGCAACACTGCATACAAAATACAGGGACCTGGTCTATAGTAGCTGCTGAGTTAGAGTAAGGCAAATGCCAGCCAGCCTGAAATGTGCAGGTCTTCAAGAAAGAGGTGAAAGGGAAGAAAAGGCTGACATTAATGTCTAGGAATAAAACACTTAAGGTCAGCAAACCAACTGTTATGAGAAAAGAATAGAACTCCTATAGTGTGTCCAGTCTAAGATATCAAACACACAAAATAATAAAGGGTTCTAGACAAAAGGCCCACACTCTCTTTCGCCCTCTACCCACATGGAATTCTGGTTCTCACCACAGTGCCTTAAGGAATGGAGCTCCCAAGATGCCCACTTGAGCTGGTTTTCCACAGCATCAAGCTCAGAATTTGGTAATCCCTGAGCTTCTTCTTGAGATACAATCTCTTCTATCAGCACTTCCCGTTTTCGTCGACGGAGAGAAACCTGGAAATAAGACTTGGTTCAGTTGATAATGAATTTAATGAGAATCAGATGTAACCATACATGAGAAACCATATAAAACATATACTGTAGTTGACTGGAGTTAATTCAGCAGTTTTGCCTAGTGGTAGGCCAGTGCTTCTGACCCAGGAAAGTGACACAAGCAGGCTCACCGGCTGTCCGGGGTCATCTAGTTCACTCTCTAAATCCTCCAGCACCGTCACTGCCTCCTCTCCATTCTCTGGATGATGCTCTCGAACCCAAGTCTGCAGCTCCTTGGGTAGGATGGCAACGAACTGCTCTAGCACTACCAGCTCCAAGATTTGTTCTTTTGTATGTGTCTCTGGCCTGAGCCATAGACGGCAAAGTTCTCGAAGCTGGCTCACAGCTTCACGGGGCCCAGGTGAATCCTGGTATCCAAACTGCCTGAATCGCTGTCGGAAAACCTCTGGGTCAGGAAGATGATTCCAGGGGATACTTGATCCCTCTTCACCATCAGGATCCTCCTCCAACTTCACTCTCAGAATTTTTTCCTCTTCATCTGGAGTTGGGATGATAAGTATAGAATCTTCTTCCACTGACTGTGCAGACATCCTGATTTAGAATACTTCAAGAAAAGACAGGCAGGATACAGGCCTCAGAGAAATACCTCGTTTTCTTCACAGGCAATCAATCCTGAGACACACACACACACATAAAAGAAAAAATAAATATATAAATGACCAAATAGCCTAGGAACTTGGACATATGTTGATAAAGGAAGTAAAAAAACTTTTTACTGAAAAATTCCAATCAACATCCTACACCAGAACTTAACAAACCACAGCTCATGGCCAAATCTGGCCTGCTGCCTGTTTTCATACAATGCTTGTATTAAGAATAGTTTTCACACGTTTTACATGGTTGGAAAAACTCAAAAGAATACTTCATGACATGTGAAAACATTATGAAATTAAAATATGTATCCCTAAATAATTTTATTAGTTCAGTTCACGCTACAATGGCAGAGATGAATTGTTGCCACAGAGATTATATGGACTGAAAAACCCAATATTTACAATCTGGCCTTTAGAGAAAAAGTTTGATCATAAAGTCAACAAACCCTACTTCAATAATCAAAAGAATCCAGGTAAGAACCAGCCCACCTTAGTGTTTTCTAAATGCATCTGATCCTGAAACACATTATTTGCAATTCAAGACCAGTGTTCTTCACACACTTAGGTCTACTCAAAAGCAAGGATGCTTTTTAATTATGTGCTTATTATTTTTAATGCTCACCCAAGGATATTTTTTCCATTGACTTTCAGAGAGAGTGGAAAGGAGTGGGAGGCGGGGAGAGGTATTAGAGACACACAGATTGGCTGCCTTTCCCAAGCACCCCAGGCTGGGGATTGAACCCATGACCCTTTGGTCCTCAAGCCAAACCACTAAACGTTCTAACCACTAAACCACACCAGCCAGAACTAAGACAAAATTTTAAGTTAAAAAATACTTTTTTTAATGTTTAAGAACTCCTTACACTTAAAATATATGTGAAAAATTATTCACTTGCTCAGGAACAGATAGATAATGGAATACTGAAAAAAACTAGCCCCCAATGCCATACAATGCAAGTATTATTCAGTCACCCACCATACCACAACTACATTTAAACTTATGACAGGCATTAATCACAGCAAATTCCATGAAAGGCACTCTCTCATACCTTAACTTCCCGCAGTCGCCCAGAATCTTGTCCTTACACTGGATGACTCAGTTTTCCCAGCTTCTACCTTCAGAGAAACCTTGTGCTATTTCTGATCATTTCCTTAGTATATGCACAGTCATGCCCATGCCACTGTTTACAACACCTATTAGGAACGGTCCATACAGCTACTCAGTGTAATCTGTTCAGGGCCCAGAAGCTGAAAACCAATCATTTCAAAAACTTATTGTAACCCTATCGAGATGAAGACTAGGATCAGAAACCTTTTTATCAGACAAGTTATACATAGAAGTTTTAAGTACTCTGGAGTGTGGTGCCCTTATAAATAGGGTTTAGCCAGCAGATTCGTTCGTTCCTATTCCTACCTTACCAGTGGTTGAAGCATTCTATATAAAAGAAATGTCTCTTCCTTCTATGTTCTCATCCGGCACCCTGCTCGCAGGACGTAGAGGTGCAGAGGGCAGGCCCGCGGTCCCGACCGTATGCGGGCGGGGGGTCTCGTTCCGGTGATCTCCCTACCTCGCTGCCGCAGACGGCCGCTGCGAAACCCGCCCCGCCCCGCCCTCCTCCGGCCGCTCCGCACCCGCTGCTGCGGATTTCAGATGACCAAAGGCCACTCGGGCACGTCAACGTCGGGGCCACAGAACTTCCGCCCGCGGCCGGCGGAACTACAAGTCCCGGCAGCTCTCGCGCAAGGCCTGCCCTTTCCCACCTCCGCCCCAACCCAGAACTCTCCGCGACACGCCAGGGCCTGGAAATAGAACAAAACCGGCTGATGGGGGAGGGGAAAGACGAGGGTCGCGGGGGACACGGGGAAGAACCACCAGAGGGTGCCGAAAGCCCTACGTGGCCTTTCATCTAACGCTTCGCGCGCCGCAACTGCTGGGCGCGGAGACAGCGGCCTGTCCCCCGCGCCTCCTGAGGACCCGAAGAGGGTCTCCCCCAAGTTTCTTCGCTGGCTCCTGCCAAGTGGTCCGCAGCCCCTAGCCCAGCGTCCCCCGCTGGCCCTTTCCCCGACTCTGGCGCAAACCTCCGGCTCAGGAACCACAGCACCTTCGCTGTCCACGGCAGACGCAGAAACGCCGCTCACAGCCGTTTCCCAGAAGCCCTCGGCGCGGACTGCTTCCTGTCTGCGGGCCCCAGGAGGCGGGGAGAGGCGAAGCCCCGCGTTGCCATGGGGATGTGCCCCTGGCGGGGGAGGGGCGGCCCAACGACAATGACCGCTTTGAGGCTGGGTTTGGCCTCCTGCCTCTCTCCTCGGGTAGCCCAACGTTCTGTGTTCCGCTTAAAAGACACGTTAGAGAAAGAGAATTCTGCCTTTTAAGATGGTCTTTACGGTTTCACAAACCCCTTGAACAGGCATTTTCTTATGGGATCTTCACAGTAGCCCTCTGAAAGAAGTAATAAAAGGTAGTATTTATGAGTTCTTAACATTGTGCCTGGCACGGTCAACGTGCTTTACATATATTGTCATTAATTTTTACAACAACCCTCTGCTGTAAGGACATTTATTATCCCTGTTTCACAACTAACCAATGCACAGTAAATAACCTGCCGAGAACTCATAACTAATAAGTTGGAAGCAGAATTTGAAACCAAAGCATGACTCCAACCTTTGGTTCCGAATGGCTATGCTACAGAGCTTTGCTTTGACCAATTTATCTATTAGGGAAACAATGAGACAGGTTATAGCTTTGGGAATTATTTCATATTGAATCTGTAGAATTCATGGTCATTTTCTGACTTTAGGCTGGCCATTTTATACCACAAAACAGCTGCTAAAGTGATCATTTAAAAGCGTAAATCATACTACTTTACTTCGTAAAGGCCTTCAACTGATCCCCACTGCCTTAAGCATGACATTAAAAAAAAAAACAAAAAAAAAAAACTTTCTACATTGCTGGCAAGGTCCCCTGTGGTCTGTTCCCCACCTTCCCTGCCTGATCTCCACCTAAGCTCACCTTGGCCCAGGATCCTTGGCCTCATGACCACCTTTCTTCCTAGAAGCCTTCCCACCCTATGTAGCACTATTAGAAGTGACCTTATTTATTCATTTCCATGTTTTTTTGTTTTGTTTTTGTATGACCTAGAAGGTCAGGAAACTTGTCCATCTTGTTCACAACAGTATCCCCACCTAGTCATAGGATGCTGCCTGCTGAGTTTATAGAGAACTTAATAAATATTTGTTGAATGAATGAATTGTACTGGCCACATTGCCACCTTTGCTAGGTCACATGCCAGGCATCAGAAACCACACAAAAGAGCCCTGTTGTTTAATGTTTCCGAGAAGCACTGCAAGATCTGCAGGCTTTGGCTCTCTTTCTCATTCGAGAAAGTCCCCACTGCAAAGTGCCCTCAGCCTCTGATGGATTTGTGAGAGAGCAAGTTAGTAAGCAACTGATGGTATAGCACTACTTTATACTGTGACCCAAACGTCATCTCCCGAGAACCCCTGCTAACTCTGATCCCCTTCTTTCTTTCTTCATTTAAGAGGCTTCAGAAATCCAGCCTTTTCAGTCTCCTACTTGGCTACCGCCACCAGTCTGTTTGGCTGCTCTTACCACCTTTCTCTTGTGACTCCAAAGGCTAGCTCAGGCATTTTCAGTTTTTTTGTTTTTACTTTAAGAGTTTTTGCATGTAATCAATGTTGGAAAACAGAAAAGATCATCAAACAGAAATACGTAAGGAAGTTAAAAATGTTGCAAAATTAGACAAAACTCTTTGCTGGGATTCTGTTCTATAATTCCCAATTCTTTCTAAGAGAGTAAATGGAAACCACAATGAGATTTTCTTCTCTAATTTAGTCTTTTGAAGGCAGGGACTGACACCGTTCTTTGAAGCCCCACTATGTGGGCTTTTTCCTAAATTGAGGTCCTTGTTGCCATGTTAAAGATCTAAAGATAGACCATCTTGTTCCTCTTAGCGCCTTACGTGTAGGGAATAGCTTCATGCCAGCTCAGGACAACCTTGAACATATCTACATAGGCCACATAAGCAAGTCTTGAGCAGCAGCCGATCTGAGTCTTGGCAGAACACCTTGTGATCCTCCCGGAACCTGAGAGCATGAGGGGCTTGTAAGGAGCTCCTACAAGGCCATTTGCCACTCAGTTCCCAATCTTCCAAAGAGGTTGTCATGAGACGGTTTCTCATTGCTCCCTGGGTTGTGATTAGGGCTTTCTGCCTCACCCCCGTATAGTACGGCTGCAGACTATAACAAGGCTTAGATGCAGCGTGGCATCAGTCCCTCAGCACCAAGGCGGTCCACGACTCATGTTGCAGTCATCTGGCCCCTTTAGTTTCAGTGTCTGACTTGGTGTGTGAGACAAAAGCTTTTGAGGAGCCGGTACGTTGTTTGGCTGAACTCGCTTTCACTGTCTGTGTAAATAATAATCTCTCAATCTAAAAAGGACTTGTTGTTTCCTTACCAGCCAAATTTTTCAACTTTGCCTTAAAACTATTTCATTCATTCATTAATGGCAAAAAACAAACAAACAACCCCACAACACAACCTAACAATAACAACAACAAAAAAACAAATACTACATAGGTTCCAGAGAACTAAAGATGACTAAAAAAATGAAGTCAGGATTTCTTCTTTTGGCATTACCATCTCCTTAAGGAAATAGACAAGAAAACAAGTATTTATAGAGCAGTAGAGAAATGCTACAGTGGAGTGGAATAGAATACCATCGGGGAACCTAAATGAGGCTGTGTGCTGAGGGGGAAGGGAAACACCATGAGATGGAGGAAGAGAAGGAAAGTTTTCACTTTGGAAGAGAAGCACAGACCTTCAGATTTGGTGTTATCAGATTTCATCCAAGAATAATCTTTTCTAGGCTTTTCTCTAACAATTATTTTGGAGTTCTCAGTGCCATCCCTCAGCTCGAAAGTTTCTCCCCCAGGGCGCTCTAAGTACACTGGTTAAAGATTCCATTTTAACCCTGGCCAGTTTGGCTCAGTGGTAGAGCGTTGGCCCTGGACCAAATGAGTTGCGGGTTCAATTCCAATCAATGGCAAGTGCCTCAGTTGCCCTCTCACATCTATGTTTCTCTCCTCACTCCCACTCTATCTGAACAAAAAACAAAAAAAAACCTCTTCTGGTGAGGATAAAAAAAAAGATTCCATTTTAGCTGATAAGCGTACTACACCAGAGGAGTCTTTTGTTTGCAAATGACTAAAAAAGTAACTTTAGCAGGCATAGTTCACTTCCTATATAAAGCACTCCCCTTACTTTTTGGATTTGGGAGTTGGGGGGCAACACTGTGCTCTGCCATAGGCAGTAAGTTGTGATTGAGCTAAGCTGCCCAACTGTTCTGTTTCCCTTTGCCAGGTGCTTACTTTGCTTCCCTGTCAACTAGGAATGACCATATTATTCAGTTTTGGTCAGTGAGATATATAGTAAAAAGAAGTAATTTGTCTTTCAAGAAATGTATCTAATTCATGTACATTGTCAAAATTTATTGGCATACAGTTACTCACAGTATTTCCTTAATATCTTTTTAATGTGTACAGGACCAGTAGTGATAACCCTGCTTTCACTCCTGAAATTGGTCATTTCTGTTAGGTTTTTTTATCAATTCTGCTTAAAGTTTATAAATTTTATTAATCTCTCAGAGAATCAACATTTGGCTTTATTTGCTCTATTATGTGTTCTCTATTTCATGGAGTTCTGCTCCTTTAAAAAATTAATGTACAGCCCTGGCCAGTTTGGCTCAGCGGTTAGAGCGTCGGCCTGCGGTCTGGAGAGACCCGGGTTCGGTTCCCGCTAAGGGCACGTACTTTGGTTGCAGTTTGTCCCCGGCCCTGGTTGGTCGTGCGGGTGGCAGCCACTCGATGTGTCCCTTCACGTCGATGTTTCTCTCTCTCTCTCCCTTCCTCTCTCTCCCTCCCGCTCTATCTGTACAAAAAATGGAAAAATATCCTCGGGTGAGGATAAAAAAAAAAAAAAAATTAATGTACAGTAAAATTGGTTGTTTTTGTTTTGGCATATACTCAGAGAGTTTTAACACATGTATAGATTTGTTAAACCACCACTAAAATCATGATACAGGATAGTTCCCTCATTCCATAAAATTCCCTCAGGATGTACTCATAACTTTCCTACATCCCTAATCTGTGGCAACCACTGATTTATTCTTCATCAAAATAGTTTTTTCAGTAATGTAATATAAAATGGAGTTATAAAGTATGCAACCTTTTACATTGCTTGTGTTCAGCATAATGCCTTTAACATTTCATTCAGCATAATGACTTTAAGATTTATGTATGTTGTTGCATGTCTCAATAGTTCATTTAATTTTATTGCTGAGTATATTTTACTGTAGGTATCACAGTTTGTTTATCCATTTAAACAATAAAGGACTTTTGGATTGTTTCTGGATTTGTATAATTATGAATAGAGCTACTTGAATATTCATGAGCAGGGTTTTGTGTGAACATAAGTTTTTATTTCTTTAGAGTAAATACATCTAGAAGTGGGATACAGTATTATGGACTATATGTTTTTGCCTGCCCCCAAATTCACATGTTGAAGCCCTAACCCCCAATATGATGGTTTCTGAAGATGAGCCCTTTGTGAGGTAATTAGGTTTAGATGAGGTCATGAGGGTGAGACCCTTATAAGGGATTGGTACCCTTATAAGAAAAGATATAGGGAGATGTTTGCTTCTTTCCCTCTCCACTGTGTGAGGGCACAGTGAGAAGGTGGCTATCTACAAACCAGGAAGAGAGCCCTCACCTGGAAACTGAATCAGCTGATCTTGGACTTCCCAACCTCTAGAACTGTAAATAAATAAATAAATTTATATCATTTAAGCCACTCAGTACATGATATTTTATTATAGCAGCTAGAGCTGAGTCATTTATATGGTAAGTATATGCTTATTTTTATAGACAAGTGCCAAACTTTTTCAGAGTGGCTATACCATTTTACATCCCCGTCAGCAATGTACAGTGTTCCAGATGCTCCACTTGTTCAGCAGCAGTTGGTATTATCTTTTGAATTTTGTCAAATGC